ATTCCCATTACCTTCCCAAGTGAGGAAGCAGCAGCCTTCACAGCCTGAAGCTGCCCTGAGCTTTTGCCAGATGGCCGAGTGGGCCCTAGCTGGGCTGACAAGCCCAGGGCTAGGTGCTCTTGGTGGTCCATCCGTCCACTGTGAGCCCTGTCACCAGCCTAGCAGCCCCCCTGCAAGAATGCACAGGCCGGGTAATCGGTGTGAACATGCAAAGGACCTAGAATAGGAACCGTTGTGAAAAGGATTAGAGAGTAGATGCCACCTGATCTCCTGGCCTGTGACAAAGCTGCCATCATCAGGTGCCAATCCAGGCGCCTGGGTCACAACAACAGGACCAAGAGCACAGGAATCAACTCAGGCCTCTGCAGCCAGCTGAGATTCAAGAATTGTGCAAGGGAAAGGCAATGGTAGATGAGTTGTGTCTTCAACAACTGTTGGAGACATCAGGTACCTCCCTGCAAAAGAAGAGGGAGGGAAGGAGAGGAGGGAAGGGAGGGGGAGAAAGAGGCTGCAGGAAGGAAAGAAAAGAGAAGAACAGGCCCTGCTTTGAGGGCTCTAACATACACTTTACACCAGGTTTGAGCTAATTTTGCCCCATGAATTATCCCAAGGCTTCAGCAGATGCCTCTTTCTGATCCCCTCGCGTCTGACCTCTCCTCCTGGAAACACATCAGTCTCTTTTCTTCTCTAACAGAATCCACTCTTTGGGATTCCCATCTTTAGGCTTGAGGAAAAGAAGGCATGCTTTCTACCGGCCTGCTTACCTGAGCAAGTCTCCTCTCACTAGGGGTTGGATGTGGCTTGTTCCCTGAAAGTTCCTTTGCTAGAATCTTGGTGTGGCGATGTGGAGAACACTGGGATACTTGGGGGAGGGAGGCCTGATGGAAGGTGGTTACATCACTGAGGATACAATCTGTAGAAGTGATGGACATATTCTCATAAGACCCTTTAGTTGCTAGGAGAGCAGACTGCTATGAAGAGTGAGGCTAGCCTCAGAATCTCCCCAACTGCCTGTGGCATTTTGTGGTATCTTCCCCTCCCATATGCCTCTACTGTGTTAGCATACAGCCATGACAGAGTCCTCACGGAGCAGCAGGTTCTGGATCCCAGGGCACACTGGCTCCTTCTGAGTCCTTTCTTGGTTCCCATCGGCTGCTGAGACCCTCTCTGGGCCCTGAGAGAACCCAACTCACAAGCGTAAGCTCTTGAGCTTAGCTACCCAAGGGCACTATCCTGCAGGAAATCTTACTGTCTTTTAGAAGGACAGGTCTGCAAAGGCAAGAAATTCTCCACATACTCCATTTCTCATTGCTGATGTTGGCAGAGGGTCAGGAAGTCACATCCTTACAGTATTGGTGAGTTTCAGTGCACACAAATTTCCACAGAACAAATTAGGCCTTGTGCACTGAAAGATTTAAGGCTCACATACTGTTGGGACTGGCAATTCTTCATCAAGGAATTTAACCTGAGAAAACAATTAGGAGAATGTCCAAGGACGTGTGCAGAAGATGGATTGCTTAAGAAAGAGTAAGGACAACCTTTGAAATTCCAGTGTGACAGGATAGGTTAATTGAATCATGGTGCTTGAATGAAATAGAATCCAATTAATTATATTTTTTTTTATAAAAATGGTGGAGCTGGAGAGATGGCTCAGCAGTTAAGAACACTTGCTGCTCACTCATGAGGAGCTGAGTTCAGCACCCACATCAGACAACTCACAACCAATTCCATCTCCAAAAATCCTGACGCCCTCTTCTGGCCTATGCAGGCATCTGCACTCTCCTATGTTTATATACTAACACACACACACACACACACACACACACGCACTCTTTTCACAAAGATACAGTGATACAAGGGTGAGGGATGTGCCTCAGCTGATAGACAGCTGCCTGGCAGGCACAAAGCCCAGCTCCATCCTCAGCACTGCATAACTGGGCGTGGAGGTGCACACCTGTAATCCCAGCACTGAGAGGCTGAGGCAGGAGGATCAGAAGTTCAAAGTCATCTGTAGCTACACAAGAGTTTAAGGCCACTTTAGGATACATGGGATTTTGTCTCAAGGAAGGAAGGAAGGAAGGAAGGAAGGAAGGAAGGAAGGAAGGAAGGAAGGAAGGAAGGAAGGAAGGAAGGAAGGAAGAGAAAGAAAGGTGCAGACTCTATATGATATGTACACATAAACTTTAAGTGCATTAAGTCAAACTGCTTATGAAAGACATAACAATACTGGGTGACATCTAGTAAGTGCTTACTGTGTACCAAACACTATTCTAAGACCTGTCCAAGGATTATTAGCTCAGTCATTCTTCACATCAACCCCACCAGGAAGAAAGTGCCTCTGTTCCTCTTCAAGGGGGGGGGGGTGCGCGCTCTGGCGGGTCACATGACTTGCATAGGCACACACAAGGGACTACACTCAAGCAGTTGGACCTCAGAGCCTATCGTCTTAAAAACCATGTGATTATACTTCTCTATGAAAGGTAGTATTTATTTTTGAAAATGAAACAAATGTTATATATGCTTGTTGTGTGTTTTTGAGAAAGCTAAGGGAGGACTGAAATGAAAATATTAACAAGAAGCACCATAATAAAATTCATTCATTTATATTGTGGTTCTTTATTCTGGAAAGGTCAATTGACTGTGTTACCATTAGAATCCTGTATCCCCGTTCTACACAATACTTGGGCTCCTGGTGGTAATATAGGAATATGCCTGCCATGGTGTACGTAGAGGTCAGAGACAACTTTCTGAAGTTAGTTCTCTCCTTTCATCTTGGTTTTTGAGGCAGGGTGTCTTTCTCTTTCTGCTTGCTGTATACTCCAGACTGTCTGACCTGAAAACTTCAGATGATTCTCCCATCTCTCTGCCTCTCTTCTCTCCACACAAGTGCTGGAATACAGATGCAAGCCACCAGGGATCAGACTCAGGTTGTCAGGCTCACTCACACTGCAAGTGTCTTTACGGTTGAACCATGTCACTGGGCCTTGCTAGATGTGGTATCAACCAAGGCTCTAGAAGGCTTTCCTCAGTTGTTCAGTCTGCACAATGTAGCAGCTCTCTGTAACATCTTCCTGGATAGTTCAGTATTTAGAATTCACTACATGTTATATGAAAAACACAAAGGCCTTGGCAGCAGAATGATCCCTTAAACATATCTGTCGGCCTGCCTACCTAGCTTCCTCTTTCATGCTTGTTTTAAAAAGACAAGGAACTACGGAGCTGTTTGCAGATGGTTTTCATCGATGCCTTTCGTCGCATTAAAAGCGGCTTTCTTTGACTTTGAAACCTCTTCCAGACTAGTTTCTCCAGGGACACTGACTTCTGAGGATGACCTGCTCCTCCCTGTGGGTCCAGCGTCCCCATCTGCTCTCCTGATGGCCTCTGCTGGAGACACGCCTTGATTTCCAGAAGGCAGGGTCCCTGCTACCCTCAAGGGCCACACAGGAGCCAACAATGCTTGAAAACAGCCTAGGACGACAGCAGCTGTGAACTTCATTTCCTCTTACGTCAGCCTAGTGAGTTGCTGTGACTGTCCAATGGTAGAGGAGGAGATGTCCTTTACAGAGACTGTCCAACATTAGAGATGTCCTTTACAGAGACTGTCCAATGGTAGAGATGTCCTTTACAGAGACTGTCCAACATT